CTCTCTCTCTCTCTCTCTCTCTCTCTCTCTCTCTCTCGTTCTCTCTCTCGTTTTGCACCGGTGGGCTTGAACTCACAAAGATCTACCTGCCTCTGCCTCCCAGTGCTGGGATTAAAGGCGTGCACCACCACTGCCCGGTTGATTTTTTTTTTTTTTTTTTTTAAGAAAGTCAAATCTTGTCATATTGCATTATCACACTGTGCAGTAGAAACTTTAAAAAAAAAAAAAGACCCTAACACTGCATTTGGATATGATATTTGATCAGAACAGCTCCATCCCCCACCCCCCACTGCTCTTTCCCCCTGATTTTGTAATGTATTCTTTTTGAAGTGTTCAGGTCAGTTGCTTATTAAAATACCCAAGTGATTTCCCTGTGCTCTTCCAGATGAACTCCTGACACATTCTCAGGGATCACAAATTCCCAATGTGACTGAGACTAGAGCACAAGATGTAGGAACTGTTTTCATCTGAGAGCTCCATATGCCCCCTGGTTTTACCCAGCTCAGTCTGGTGCAGCCAGAAGAAACCTACTTCCTGAGAAGTCTTGAAAAGGAAGGTGGTTCCTGTGATTAGTCTATGCATCATATACTTTAATTTTGAAAGCTAATTTCTATTTTCCTCCTATCTCACTGTAAAATGCAAAATTCTCTTAGCCTTTTAAGCATATGTATGTTTTGGCCTATCTATATGTGCACAATATATAGATTTTTTTCCCCTCTAAACTAATTTACATTTTACACATTCAGTTCCTCCGTCCTGACCTCGGGAAGAATAGACAAGTGCTAGACACACACACACAAGAAAAAAAAATCATATGATCTTGAAGCATTTTCATTGATATTTCTTTTTACAGTAACTTTTGACACAAATTTTAAATAATGGCTCTCTGAAGTTTGAAAGTGATGAAATGTCTTTTTTGCATGAAGAAACTGAGGTTCCCATAGATGGCTCTGACATGTCTTGTATCCCGTGACTACAGACAGTGGAGAAGGAGTGTAAGTCAGGTGTAAGCTGTATTCCAAAGGTATGCTTTAGAAATAGTTTGTGTTTTATCTCGGTCAGTCTAGAATCTTGCCGTCATTAGTTTTGACGAACATACTGTGATTCTTCGAGGAACTTAAGCGCTTCCTGTCACCAGTTAACAGTTGGGTGCTCGTACCCCAGGAGCCTGCCATCATCATTTCCCAATAGCTCTTAGACATTCCAAAGGCTGTTACTGTGGAAGTCTGAGGACATTGCTGAGGAGGCAGACCGTCAACAAAAGGCTTCAACGCCAGTTGCAGCTGCGCTGAATTAAGCAGATCAATGAAGAATCAATGAAACTAGCTGCTATGCCCTGACCTACCTAATTCATGTGAAGACTCGCCTTTGCCTTTAAAGGTAATAGCGACAGGGTACTGTACAGTACTCTCAAGTGTGTGGCCAGCCTGGACTACCTAGGATATTAGAGGTCATCCTTGACTACACAGTGAGACTCTATCTCCCTAGTTGCCCATTGATGACACCCCCTCCAAGAAAATAAAGGTGAAGCTGGAGAGATGACTCGGGTTAAGAATACTGGTGGTTCTTCCAGAGGAACTAGGTTCAATTTCCAGTACCTCCATGGCAGCTGACAGCGCTAACTCCAGTTCTGGGGGATCCAGCTCCCTCTTCTGGCCTCTGAGGGCACTGCATGTAAGTGGTACACTTGCATACATGTAGGTAAAACATCCCATACATATAAAATAAGACTTTTCTTAAAAAAGAAGAAAATCTACTACAAAATGAGGTCTTGAGGAAGCGAAATTGTTCTGTTTTGCTTTGCCATGGGCTTGTCTATTTTATTTTATTGACTCTGGAAAATTGATGAAGTCACCATTGAGGTCACCATTGGTTCTGTCAAGGGTGTAATCAAAATTGTGAAGCAGCTTCTTTTTTTTTTTTTTTTTTTTTTTTTTTTTTGGTTTTTCGAGACAGGGTTTCTCTGTGTAGCTTTGCGCCTTTCCTGGAGCTCACTTGGTAGCCCAGGCTGGCCTCGAACTCACAGAGATCCGCCTGGCTCTGCCTCCCGAGTGCTGGGATTAAAGGCGTGCGCCACCAACGCCCGGCTGTGAAGCAGCTTCTTTATGGACTAAAATTCCTCTTCAGTGGGATAATAAAAATTGTGTGTGCATAATGCACCGACATACATATGCTATATACATGCATACAATACACATTGTATTTCTTTTTATTTTTATTTTTCATTGACGCTACATTTTGTTTCCTTATCATGGGAAGACTGAAAATACAAAATTCCTTCTGTGTATAAAAATTCATAAATATCTAAGTCAAATGGCAAGTGAAATAACTCCTTCGAAAAGAAATATAAAAAGTCCAACATTCCTTAACAGGTTTCTTTTTGATTTTTTTTTTTTCAGAAGGGTTTCCTGTACTTGTTACCATTTTCTGTTTTTAATTTGTTAACATATATTTAGCTGTATTTGTGAATAATAACATAGTTTATATACATAGATCCAACACCACTGTCCTCTGAGGTGCTTGACACTGTTAAGTGAGTATGTCTCTAGCTTAATCTCAGCTCCTCAATTAATTGGCTTAACTTATTCTTCAGTATTCCCAGTCTGAATCCTTTCCCATTCCAGAACTTTCAGAACAGATTACATTCAGCTCCACCAAAGTTTTAAGACACTGGGGCTGGAGAGATGGCTTAGTGGTTAAGAGCACTGACTGCTTTTTCCAGAGGACCTGGGTTCAATTCCCAGCACCCACATGGCCACTGAAGACCCTGAAACCACTCACCCTTCATGTTCTCCTGCTCTCGATTTCTAAGGACCAGAACAGAACCACCAGTGACTTTCCCAAGTGAAAACACAATTGGTTTTACATGGGATGCATACATGTTAGCCCTCAACTGTGAAAGATCTTCTGACTGGTCATTTGGCATCAGATGGTCCCCTCCATGACAGACTCAGTCACCTCAATTTCTCTTTTATCTTTATTGTTAGTTTTCTTAGAATCTTGCTAAGTTTTCTAGGCTGACCTCAGGCTTGAGGGTCCTCCTACCTCATGTCCCAAGTGCAGGGAATACAGGTGTGGTGTGTAACCCCAGCCTGACCTTGTCTCTGTTTCTGCGCATCATGAATCGCTATTTCATAAGATAGACATCCAAAGGAAGACATTTAAAGTATTAATACTCTAAAGGCATAAATGGAATATCAATCCATAGTGAGGTTTATGATGTTTTTCTGTGAATATTCTTCAAGTGGGGATAAGAATTTATTACGAAGTTAAATTATCTTTTGCATCCAGAAGTTATCTAAAACAAAAATCTTAATCTTACTTTTTTGGTTTTCCAAACTGGCTGTTCTTGTCACCTAGAAATTTGGTGTTTTTTGTTTGTTTATTTGTTTGTTTGTTTTAATTTTTTTCTACTAAATTTTATCCCTCGGAACTTGATTTGATTTCTTAATTAATATTCTATTTTGGGACTCTTCAGAAATTGGGAACACAATTAGGTGGCCAGGCATATAATTTTTTTTTCACTGTAGCTAGTATGAATATTAGGGAAGCTTGAGGGCTGTGATTCCCCTTGGTGATGCAGGGTTGGTGAGACCTAGGTGATACACACACATACACACACACACACACACACACACACACACACACACACACACACACGGCATGACACACCACAGCCACTGTGTGGTAGAATGCTAGAAACCTTTCTCACAGCTAATTATCATCAGAGGAATCACTGCCTTCCTGAGTCTGAAGAACACCTTTGTTAGCAAAACTTCAATTCCTGGTCCCATTTAAAAGGCACACAAAAGGAGTTTACACTCAGCTCCTTTGAGACACCCCTACACACACACACACACACACACACACACACACACACACACACACACACCACAATTTATAAAAAAAAAAAAAATATTGTCCAAAAGAACCAAGTTTTGAATTTAGAGAGTGGTTATCATCACATGTGCCAAAGCTCTCCTTCCCCTGTGTATAAATGGCTCTAGAGAGATGTGAGAAACTGCTGAGTCCATAAATAACAGTGGTCGTGGCACCTCTGCAGGGGCAGAGTGTGGGAAATAAATAGTTCAGAGTTGGAGTAAATCCTCTGTCTGGTCATGGAGATCCCAGGTTGGCGTGAGGCTGTGAGCATGTGCAGATCTCTTTTTCAGATCGCTTCCAGAGCCGGAAGTGCTTTGTGGAGCTTTTCTTCTCTCTCCCCAAAGCTGACACGTGGGCCTTCAGTTCCCCCAGCTTGATCTCAGCCATCCTGCAAGACACACCGGAACCTGTTGCACAGTTGGGTCTCATTTAATAAAAGCAGAGTGTTCCTAGAAAGCTGTTTTCCAGAGGAAGGTCAGGGAAGACCTCAAATGACCAGTGCCTCATAGTTTCCATATCGGGGGGAGGTGGGGGGGACGACGACTAAAAGATCATAGAGCCAGCCAGGTCTGACCTGCGCCTTGAGAACCAGAGCCCAGAAGTTGGAGGCTAGCCTCATGCAACCCAGTGTGACTCTGTACCACAAAAATAACTTTAAAAACAGAAACAAGAATAAAAAGTAACAGGTATCAGAGAGATGGGTCAATGTTTCAAAGTCCTTGCTGTGCAATTGTGAGAAGCGGAGCTTGGATTTTAGCACCCCTGAAACAAGCTGGATGTCCTGGGCACCCCTGTAACTGCAGCACTGAGATGCTGGTGGGAAGAGACAACAGGCTTGGATTGCTGGAGCTAACTAGCTTCCAGCCTAGCAGAGGAGAACGTGACCTCCGGCTTCAGAGATAGACCCCTGAATTTTAAAAAAAAAAAAAAAAAAAAA